ACTATATCCACCATGGATTGAAGAAGTCTTAACTCAAGAAGGGACTCACGAATAAAGCTCCACCGTAATTGATCATAAGCTTTTTCGAAGTCAATTTTGACCACCATCCATCCAACCTTTCCTTTCTTATATCTCATGGAATGTAGCATCTCTTGAACTATAACAATGTTATCTGAAATTTGGCGCTTTGGGACAAAACTACATTGAGTCGGAGAAATAAGAGATGGAAGTAGAGGTTTAAGGCGATTCACAATAATCTTAGTCACTACTTTCTAAGTTATGTTACACAAGCCAATAGGCTGAAAGTGGTTAGGCTTTTGGGGAACATCCATCTTTGGAATTAAAATAAACAAGGAAGGCATCGTTGAGACCATTTGGGAAATCCCTACCTTCCAATACATCTTTCAACAATTTAATTAAGTTTGGAGCTACCAAATCCCAATATTGTTGATAGAATAGAGGTGGGCTTTGTAAGCCTTCATACTCTCCTTTATTCCTTTTATGAAAATTTGTAAACTATTAAGAGAGTTTGTATACTATCTCCCTGATGTGAGCGCGAATACAAAAGGTATAATTAAACAATGTATACATGCATATAGCATTCAACATATGACACATACTCAAAAATTGGATCAGAAGTTTGAATACTTTTGAACATAATTAAATTATTACATTTTTAAATACGAAGCATTGGAGATAGTATTCAACAACATAAAATTATTCAATGAGTTAAGTAAATTTCATCAATTTATATATTTGTAGAATTGTCCGACTTTAAAAAAATGCATGGCCCATGCACTAAGAGTAATGTAGTTGCTGAAACATGCAACTATGTATAACACGTAGTATTTATATATAACAATGAGAGTTTTTTTTGCTGAGACATTGCATTTTCATGAGATCAGAAACCATAATTATACTTATATAATTTTAGCAATAAAACTCTACAATGCAATGTGTAAGCATTTATATTGACCGATAAATTTTGCCGCTTGGAAGGTTAATGGAGGAATTGGGAAATTGGGGCCACATGACATGTCCCTTTATTTCAACAATTTCATGATTTATAAATCTAAGTTTCATCAAATGATCTTGGTTTTCAGCATTTATTCACAATAGAATGCATACTAATTTGAAGAAATAGAGTTTCGTGTTAGATTTGAATCATTTAATTTTGAAAGTTATATACCCTCTTTGTTTCTAAATACTTACAACGAATACTTATCTTTGCAAGTGATTTTAAGATTGTTTATGAAAAATTTGTCAAGCTTTATTAAAAAAAGTTCCTCGGCCATCAACATTTTGTTCTCCTCTTTTACCTAGAGATCAAACAAATCACTATAACCATACTCTGCACAACAAAATAATTATATTCTTCTATTTTCATTTTTTAACATCTTCAATTCCATGTCCTCCTTTACAATATTGATATGTATATTTTTGTGAAAAGATATCAGATACTTAACCTAGAATCATTTTCAATGTATCATTCTTCTTGTACTTCTCTTTATTCATAAAAATCATCTTAAAATCGAACTTTGTAATTACTTCGTACTTGTATTACTAGTAATTAATAACCGAGAAATCTGTAACAATATGAAATAATACATACGCCATATTAAATTACGAGTGATATTAAATTACTAGTATATCATACAAGTCGCAAATGCAAAAAATAATCATAGTGGTGTTTTTTATTTTTTATTTTAATTTTAATTTGAGTAGGAAAATTGTTACAAGTCCATGTAAGTCGATATGAATGATATGATAAATTGAAGTTGAGAAGACAGATATGAAAGAGAGCAAAACTTTAAAAGGCTTTCGGCAGCGGTGGAATAGTCAAAGTAGCATTTGCTTTGGTTAGAAAGCGCTTCGGTAGGCCCAATATCCTGCTACAAGGAGACAAATTCATCCACCAGCGTTTGATTAATTTTTCTAAGAATTTCATGGAGATTAGAATAAACCACTTACGTTACATCAACTACTTATTTTTTAGATTTTGGGCCCTTTAATTTTCTTTCGAGGTCACCAACAAAACGATTAGTATGCTCATTTCTCTACCTTAATTAATGATCCTTCCCTAGTTCCAAATTATCTAATTTTAATTTGTATAGAAAGTATTTTTATAAAATAAGTCATGTTCTTTTGAGCAGAGTAAAGCAAATTTCAACAGAACAGGGCATGACTCAATAAAACAGATTAAGTCAGCACAGCAGCTCTAAAAAACAGGTTATCATGCATTATTATTCATGCTCAAATATAATGATATGTTACTATAAATTATTAATATTTCCTCTTTCCCTTTAAAATTATCTTAACAGATTACTTAAGCACGGTTGTCTTCTGTATCATTTTCATAGACAAAGCAACCAGTCAGTTATACCTCCCAATTAACATTGAACACCCACAATACTTGAGGTTAATAAAACGAGGAAGAGTAAATTTGGAGAAGACGTACATAAACTCGTGGAGAGAGAAATGTAGTTCATGTGAAAGACTTTGGTTATATTGGCCTCGTATAACTAGTGGGTTGGGACGAAAGTTATTTGTCCTAACTAACCACAGGACATGCAAGTTTAACATAAGACACAATACGGTTTGCTAATTAACATTGTTTTTATCTCAAAAACAACACTTTATTTACAAAAATATTTTGGCCTATTCCTTAAAAACTATCATGCACCATTTGCGTATTTGAAAGTAATTTTTCGAGAGATATCTAATTTGGAAGTTAATGTTGATTGCATCATACCTAATTTAGGAAACCTTTTTTTACATATATCAAACACTCATTATGCTCTTACTGACATCTCTTAAGTGCAGCACTTCATAGGCTTACCCACCTACAATTTGTGGGTAAACCACATTAGTTTTGTTGTCCCTTCCCAAGTGATAGAACAATGTATACTACAAGAAGGGGGTGAATTGTAGTGTATGTAGAGTGGTAAATTTTGCGGAATTAAATCTACTACTAAGAGAAAAGACACTGAGATAGGCAATGAATAAATTCACTATGTAAAAATGATTTACAATCACTAATACGTTGCCTAGACTCAAGTTCCGTGAGGAACTCAAGTTACCCAACTGTGATCCCTCAATCACAGTTTCTCACACTTTGTGATTCTACTCCGAATCACTTGTACAGTGTAAACAACTCTCTCAAGTCTCACACTTTACAACTCTCACAACCCAAACCTAATTACACAATGATTACAAGTATTTCCTAAAGAACTTAAGAGACTAAGGATGGAAGGAACTTCTCTTTTAAACACTTTGAAACTCTATGCTCAGAATACTTAAGATTGTTTTCCACACTTTCAAAACTTAACGTTAATCTGTTTTTATAAGGAGTTAAACCAAGCTTCCATCAAGTTCCCACTTCCCCCTTAATCCCACGTTCTCTTTGACTGAGAAGTTGGGATGTAGGCAGAGGAAATTTAGGAACATGATTTCCTTAGCTTGACTCCTAAATTCAACGTGCTCCTTAATTTAAGCAGTCAATATTTACCAAGTTAAAAATCAATTAAAGACTTATTCAAAAGATAATTATTTAATAAAAAAGATAATTATTTATTTATTAATTAAAAGATAAATAATTAATTAATTTAAAACTTATCTTTTTAAATTAATGAATTGTTTATTTATTTATAAAATCTTTTTAAATCTTTTTCAAAACTGATTTTTATCACTTCCTTAAATTAAGGGATATGAAAACTGTTTTAAAACTTTCGTTTAAAACTTTCTGAGTCAATCGCCAAGTTCCTTCGGGAACTTCAGGTTCCTTCAGGAACTTCGAGTTTCTTTTTAATTCCTTCCATTCCTTCCAACACTTTTGTTTCTTAAGCTCGTACACTGAGTAACTAAGTATATAGAGTTGTGAGGACATCTTGAAAGCTTGCATTCATCATCAAGTCTTCCAAACTCTGTTGTTCCTACTCCGGAACATTTAACTTCAAACCTGAATCTTCTGTTTTAACCAAGACTCATAAACGTCGTTAGTCAAAGTTTGTTTTATGTAGGTCAATCATCAAAATATAAGGTGGTCAATTCAACACCAAGTATTACATAAAGAAATAAAATAAAAATAAAATTGTATGCCATAACTTTGATGTAAAATACATACTTCTTTCGTCCCTTATTTACATGCCTAGTTTTTTTTTTAGAGGTTTCAAAATTACATGCCTATTTTTATTTTAAGAATGTATTTTTTGACAATATTCCCTCTTTTTAATGAGTAGACATTTTTTTTTTTTTGTACTTTTGACATCATTTTCTAACACTTTCTCTCTCCATCTCTTCAATAATTACCAACTACATTTCCTTTCTCTCTATCTCCCTCTAATCCCACATGCATATTTGTACTTTCCAATCATGACTATTAATTTTCTTAATTTCCGTATAAAATGAAAAATAGGCATGTAAATAAGAGATGAAAAAAGTACAATTTTTGTGTTCGATTCAAATTAGTAAGCTCAACTATCATCACATCCTAACGAGCTTCCAACACATTTATGGTTTTTGTCACAAACATGGACTATGAACTTATACTCCGTATTCATAGTATATCGTTCGTTCATCCATCACATACATACCAATCTAGACAATTCGTACATAGTTGGATTTAAACTTATACTCCGTATTATACCTCAATCTTCCCTAGGGACTCATAGAGAAGATTTTTCTCCATCCACTATTTAGATCGCAAGTACGTACAAGTTTTAGGATATGACAAATAGGCCAGGCCTTAAGCTATACTTATTTCATTACCATCCAATAATAACTCAAAATATAAACATCGATCATTATCACAAGTTCATAACCTCTATCATCACTAACTACCAAAAATACCGCACCTAATCAATTAAATCCAACTTCCAACTCCTCTCTAACTCAGCTTATTGTAACAATGCATCAAATTTTACCTACTTTACATAAAAATAACAATGATGTTGAAAAATAGCACATACGAAGTAATTCATATTTGAACAAAACCAAGCATATGATACAAATCATGGACTAGTCATTAACCCTTTTCAGTAAAAAAAGAGATGCAACCATTACCATATTTGAGAGGTACCTCCCCTGTTGTTATTTATGTAACTTTTAGATAGAGACTATACTATATTATCACATTTCTGAACAAACATTAACTTATGACAAAAGATACGGATTTTTATATATTTCCCATTCTTTTGCACGAAAAAGATGCTCCCACACCACTTTTTTTACCTTCTTTTACAGTCCTACAGTACTTTTTTACTGACTAGTAATACTCCCCTTTTACCTTCATTTTTTTTTTAATTCCCTTTTTTTTACCTTAATAATTTACAATACTACCCCTATTCCCTACTCTTTCTCTAGTCTCTCCCTACTACGCCGCTACGCCGACGTTTCCTTCCTCTGCCGCAACCTCCGTAGTATTCAGTGACACCGAACTAGCCTCCACACCATCGAAGAAATCTAAATTCAAAGTAATGAAATCAAAACGACGTTGTAGTTGAAAATCATGCAAAATTTAAAAATAAAAGAAAATGCAAATAAAATTGGAAATTACCAGCGGAGGAATTGAAAGAGCGTTTACAGTGTAAAATGGCGCTTTGAATACCATCTTGTTGCTGCAAAAGAGAATCATCTCTTTTCTTAGACGACGTCGTATTCTGCACCATTGAATGCACAACCGCCGACTTACTCTTACCTAAATGTTTCTTCGCTATTACCTTCAAATTCAACCCTTGTTTTTGCGACACTTTCTCTCTCCTCTTCTCAACCGTCGTTTCTCTCTCCGCTTTTTTCGACACTTTGATTTTCACCATTTTTAAGTATTTCTGCACCACTTCCTTCTTGTTCTTCTTCTCGTCTCCAGAACCTTCCGTTTGCGACGCCGAATCGTCGGATTTTTGATGCTCCACTTTCTCCTCCTCGACATTCTCGCCGCCTTTCACGACGGTGGTGGCGGCTGTCGTGACGGCGGCGGGTGTAGTGGTGGAGTTAACCTTGGAGTTAGAAGAAGCGCGAGTGAGGAGAGAGAAAATCGGAACCTCTTCCACTTTGAATTTCACCGTGAAAAACTTCTTGTTTTGGTGGTGGTTGTTATTGTTGTTCGGCTGATTTTGAGAGTGACATTGCTTTGACTCGGACTTTGACCGCTTTAACCCTAGCAAAAACACGCGAAACTTTGTCGCCGATTTCGCAAGCGACACCGGAATCGGAAACTGACCTGACTTGTTACCGGAGTTCATCATCTCCTCTTCCGAACCGTCGATTCGAAGTATCCTACCTTTGAAGAACAAGTCATCCGACGGTGAGAAAGCGAGGTTCGGTTCCAACTCTCTCTCCTCTACTACTTCCACCTCTTCATCTTCTTCCTCATTTTCATCATCAATCTCATTTTCTCTCTCCTCTGTTTGATCCTCTTCATTACATTCTACGTCATCATCGTCACCGTCGTCGTTGTTGTTGTTATCGTCGTCTTCGGCAGGTACGGCGAATTCGAGGTCAAAGAAAGGGCCGTCGTCATCGTCGTCGGAGTCGTGGTCGGAGCTTTCGGTAACGGCGGAGATGATGGTGGTGGTAGCGGAGGAAGAAGAAGAGTTGTGAGCTGAAGGTAGAGATATAAGAGGTGGGCCACCACTACCAGCAGCGGATTTCCAGTACTTGAGTAAGCTAAAAGCTTCCATGGTTGGGAGAGCCAGACTAATCACAGGTAACAAGCTTTACAGCTTTGGAAATAATTTAATTTTTCAAATTTTTCAATAAAAATGATGAAAATGGGTTTGGGAAGAAAGGTGGGATAAAATGGAAAGAGAGAGGGGTTGGAAAGAAGGAGAGGAGGGGATGAAATTGGGTTACACGGGAGATGGCAGGAAAGTCATGTGAGAAAGGCAGTCAAGCTTCAGAGTGTCTCTGTTTCTGTTTCTGTTTTTCTGTCAGACCAGGGTTTTTAATGGCAACAATGGAAAATGACTCTTGAACTACTAGTGTGTTTTTGGCTGATTTTTAAGTTTCTCTTGACAAGGGTTTTGCTACATGTAGTCTAAAATTACCGACGACAAGTGAAAATTTATGAGAATTTACAAATAGAGTAGTTGTTTGGATAACAATAAAAAGTGAAAATAAAGGAATTGAAATTTAATGGAAATTAGTTTTTCTCATAAAATATGGGAAATTAATTACCTACTTATCCCTTAATCACTCAAAATTATTATAAATAACAAATTCCTTTATGAAAACCAAACAACTTATGACCATTTCCTAAGATTTTTTTTTTTTTTTTCTCTCTCCTTTTGTTATTAAGAATTGTATGAAGAAAATAATTTCCCATGAAATAAAAATTACCTTAGGAATTTAATTCCCCATATTAACTAAACGAGCTCTTAGTTTGTCAAAGTATGTTTAGGAGAAGAATAACGAGGAATTTTGGTGTTTCATTATTTGAGTGCTTGTAAAGGTAGAGAATGTTGTAAGGAGTATTAGAACTTCACATAGGGTCACAAACAAAAAACCCCATTTCAGGTTAGGCGATGTAGTTCATTACGAGTAGGAGTTTATGATTGTGTGATACGGAGTATTAATCTTCTCACTAGGTCAAACTTTATTTGATATTTCACTACATGTATGACCTAGTTACGGAGTCAATTCTTATCAAATTACCTATGTCAATCGGTGCTACTAAAACGTAGTGTTCATATGAGGAGTTAGGACTACGTTACGGGGAATAGGGACTATGACCGTCTTATTTTCGTAATATTGAATTACTAGATTGCACAATTTAATTAATTATTATTATTATCATGTATAAAATAAAGTTTTACCATCAGTGTAAAAAAGAGTGGTAATTTTTTTTGTTAGAAAAATGTATAATGTAGGTTAAAAAAATAAAATAAAATGATGACATCACATATAGAAAATGGAAGGAAAATATTTAATGTTAGAATGACACGTAGGATAATTTAAAGGTTGATGATGTTAATAATGTTTTATTTTAGTAATAGTTAGATAAATATATCCCAAGAAGGTTGGGCAGAGTAAAAGAAAACTGACACCTAATAATTAATTGAGTTTATAGGAATTGGTTTCTGTTAATTACCCCACATTAACTCCTTTTTTTAATACTTTTTGTAAGATAATTTAGTGGAGACTAGAGAGCATGAACTAAAGCTTGATTATGCTTATCAACCTAATCCTTTTTCCTTTTTTCTGTTTTTTTTTCTCCTTTCAAACTTCTTTTTGTCTTTTCAATTCTAAGCTTCCTAAGCAAGTCGTACTTTATAATTATAATAATAAATTTTCTTGTGAACCACGCATAAAAGATGACTTGTAATTTTAAATTTATCAATTTCTTCAAGCTTTGCGTAACTTAAATTAGGGTTGAAAATAGGAGTTTTAATCCCATTGGTAACGAAGTCCTAATAAGGTTTGACCATCATCTACAAATAATTTTTGTTTATCATATCATCTTCTAATCTTCCAACTCTCTATCCCAAATTCCAAACACTCCTTAGTATTTGTTTAGTGGCATATACTTGAGAATGTTAACTAATAACTACTCTGAACTCTAATTCCTTGTATCAAAGCTACACTACCAATGTCACTTTTGTCATTGGAAAATGTGGCCACATCATTTCTTATAATAATGTATGATACTTTGTAACTTTTATTTCATTCAATCTTGTGTGTGATATGCAAGATTTGAGATCAATTTGAATAAGACAGGGGTGTTAAAAAATGATAATGCACTTACTAATTTCCAATAATACTTGTATGTATTACGCCATCTAAGGCGGCTTAAAACTTGTTCAAAAAATCAAAAACAATTAATAAAACATTAATCCTCTTCATCGCTGGTATTGGATATGGTTGCCCATATGTATCCATTAGGACCATTACTAACACCATACTATGACACCTTACACTTGATTCTCCAAAGTGTCATCATGCCATGCATATCGTACACATTGTATTGAATTGCAGTGTATATCCTGTATTTCATTTGATAAAACGGGATGCAATGAATAAAAGTCATGAACCCCTAAATTGTTTGGCATGTTTTGAATGTGGCTTCATTCAAGTTTCTTGTCTCTAACTCTGGCCTAGTCTCCTTATTGATGAGGCAACCATTTTCCCCTGTTTAGGATGGACCCAAAATCATCAGTACTCCAAACTTATCAATCATCCCTTTTTGTTCTTTTTCTTGGACTTTTTGTTCTTTTTCTTCAACTCGTATTTAATAATGCATGCCTATATTTAAGACATAGGGCACATGCATGATTTCATATTTTTCAGGTACTATAGGCTGTGTTTGGTAATTAGCTTATTTGAGCAAAATTAATTTATTTGATCAACATTAGCTTATTGACTATTAAATAAGCTAATTCAAGGTGTTTGGTGGGAAGCTTATTTAACTCCTTTTAGAAGCTTTTTCAATTAGCTTATTCAATTCTTATGGTGAAATGACACTTATACCCCTATTTAATTAAAAATCTTATATGAACTACCTACCCCACAATTAGCTTATTGGTCATTTCACATAATCAATCAGCTTTAAACAATGAGCTATTTACCAAACACTTTTCTACAATAAGCTAATAAAATAAGTTTAGTCAAATCAGTTAATACAATCAGCTAACACAATCAGTTTCAGCTTTCAGCTTTTCCCCAAACACAGCCATATGTCAATTAGCTTAAACCAAAGAAAATATTGAGCTATTGCAGATGAAGAGCAATTAAGAAATTATATGTTTAGTGATAATATAATTTCTTATATACAAGACAAAATATTTTATTAACAATCCATTTTTTGATCAATTAAATTGTTGTTTTGACTTTTGGTTTATTCATTTACTAATATATGCCATATGGGGTTTTTTTTTTTATTTATTTTTATTTATTTTTTATTTTTCAACAAAGGTGTTATATAGATTATAGATAAGTTGTTGGATTGTTTTTAATATTTCGTATATATAGTCACCATATTAATTTTTAATAATTTGAACTACTAACGTAGTATGTATATTTAAAGATAATTGCAGTTAAATTCGTAAAACAGTGAAAATAAAAAAGTAGAAGTTTAATATTGAAATAGATGTAATGGATTATTGTATCATTTACTGATCAACTCTCATCACATCCCATATTCAAAATGATAATGACCATTGAAAAATTGACATCCACTTCCCTTTTATGTGATGCATGTCAAACCTCCATTATCACCCCACCCTCTCTCTCCCAATTTATTAATTAATCTTGATTACCATATATACTCCGTAATTCTTACTTTCTCCGTCCTACGTCCTAAATTAACAATATTTACATTGTTATCTTAACTCTATATAACTTGGAACATGACATAATTTTGCTCATTTGTAGCACATGAACCATTCAAACAATCTTTTTATAACTCTCTGTTACTCTAATTACAATATTATTAAAGATGATGAGAAATCAATCACAGATTCAATCTAATAATTCCACCAGGCCATCACTATATTGCCTCTCTTAGCATATAAATTCATACACTATTACATTATTGCATTAGATAATAAGTTGGTCCATTAGGTGCTAGGCATTTGTGTTTTACGATCTCCATAAATGAACATATTTTACTAATCTTAGCCATTTAATTAGTGTAACAATATATAATGGTCCTATATCATACTGCATAATGCATGTGATGAAACAAAGGTAAGGTCTAATCAACTTGATAAAGTATTTTTCCATATATGTAATATATCCTACTATTACACGATTTACACCCAAAGATAAAATAAAGGATAGTGCATCATACAAACAGGTTCAAGAACAAATCTTTGTATTGCATTTACGACCTTGCATATTTAGAAGAAAAGGTCCTTCATTTAAGAATACCCTCTGTTTATTCTTATTCCACACTATATTGTTGGTTTGTCTTGTTTATTTATTGCGTTTATATAGTCAAGAATTTACGAAGAACTTGTCAAAGTGGAGTTGAAGAAAAGCATGAGATTTTTCTAGGGCACGTTATTAACTCATACCAAGCCAAGCATGTCCAAGAATTGTAAAGTATGTGTTGATGCAAATTGGTCCAATTAATTCAATTTTTTTGGACTAGTTGTCTAGTCCAAAACGATTTTTAAACATCACTAACTAATTGTCAAATTACGGGCATATGGATTCTTTCATTGTTTGGAGTTAATCCTAATAACCTAGGTATACTCCGTATGACCGTATCATTTATTCAAATCAACTAAATATAAATTGAAATAACGCTTTACCCAAGTCATTGTTAACGCCAAGTTGGTCATTATAATTTATAAACACTCAATTTATGATGAAGGACAAAGGCATGGGAAAGTTGGTAATAAGGCACTAGATGAGATTTTCCAAAATGGTGGGTGATTAGACAAAAGCAAAGAAAAGTAAAAATAAAAAGAAAAGGAAGAAAAGAAACCAAGACTAACACAGTAAAAAGAACAAGTAAAGGGGATTGTAGGTAGGCGATGGACCTCTTCGATTACCTAAGGTAACTTTGCTTAATCCACTTTTTTATCTGTGTTTTCTTTTGCATATTTTAGTAATACTAGGTTCACTTTAGAAAGGAAAGACGATTAGTAATGTTTGGCTAATTTTTACTCATGCTATATTAGAAAATAACTTTGATAATGACTAGAGTTGTCAAAAAAAAAAAAAAAAAATGACTCAATTAAATTGCAATGGACATACATAGTATAGTAATTAAATAACCCGATGAAATTATGGATACAATGGCTTTAAAACAAACAAATGAAACAATTACTCCATTTCTATATTAGATATTAGTCGAGTTGATTAGACTCAGTTTGCAATCAACCATAAGCTTGATTTAACAACTCTATTATGACTTATTTACCGTTTGGTCCAGGGTAGGAGTTAGTACTTGGGTACGTAAGGTGCACCCGAAGTCTAAAAGTGAAGTCACGTGGCTTACATGCATGCAATTGAAAGGACCCAACAAAAATAAATTGCTTGCGTTGCTTAGCAGTTATAGTTATTCAACTCT